CCTATTAAAGCTTGAAGTACAGCTGCGCACGCTAACGCCACCTACTATAGACAATAGTACGTAGGAGTCTAAAACACTAAGCAACACCCTAGAATTTAGGTCTTAATTAAAGCTAATTTAAGAGTAGATTTAGAGACACGCTAATAGCTTACTAATATCTATAGTTAACACTCTTAATTAGCTTACTAAAGGCGCAGAGCTAATAGCGCATTCACTAGTTTTAGTGCGCAACTAGGTTGCTAACCTACAGGCATCTAACAAGGCTGCTACACGTTGTAAATTACACAAAAGGAAGCAATTATAGCAAGAGGGGACTCTAGTCTTTGCTAAGGGAGTGCAGCTAACTACTCTAAAGGAGTTTAAGGCCTGTAGTGATAGGAAGAAGGCAAAGAAGAGGTCGCGTGTTGATAGGAGCACTCAGTCTCTAAGGCGCTGTGGCACATGTAGCAAGACAGGGCACAACGCGCGAACATGCAGTAAAGATACACAGAGTAACGTACCCCACGGGCGAGTCGGACACACGGGCGAGTCGGACACTTTTGCCAAGACCCTACTAAACCTCACCCTATTATGGCCCAAAACACCACACTCTGGCGCTGCAAGGTGCAGTACAGCTTAGAATATTATTTAGAGACTACTTCTGTATCATTCTTGCACATTTGCGCGTTGTGCCCAGTCTAATTGCACCATCTACAGCGTTGTTAGGAGGGCTTACCTACTTTAGCGCGCACCTGCTTCTTTAACTTCTTTCTATCACTACGTGCCCTAAACTCCTTTAGAGCTGCTATCTGCTGCCCTTCCTTAACTATAAGGGTCCCTTCCTTCTAGATTTGCTTTCTTTTGCGCGATTTACGTTCTGTGGCAGCTGCTAGAGCTGCGTAAAGCTCAGCGTTCTCCTATTGCGCCAAAACTAGCTTGTGCAATAGAATCGCTCCCCCCTTTGCGTAGTGCTCAAGCGCGCTCAGCACAGAATTAGGTAAGCTACCCTGCTGCTTCTTATACTTCTCTTAAATTAGAGTTAATTGCAACTAAAGTTCTAGGGTATTGCTAGGGGTTTGCAACTGCTAGGGCTTATTATTATTAGGGAGTTGTAGTAATAGAGTGCACAGCTTTATATTAAGCCCTATTATAACCTATTCTAGGTTAAAGGGGACTAGTCTAGCGCCTTAGAACCCTCCTTAGATATTGCTTAAGGTGAATACAGCATTATAGGCTACTTTAAAGCATTGTAGGAACTTAAGCTTTGTAATATAACGTACTCCACAAGCGAGTGACCGGCACAAGCGAGTGACCGGGTTTTGCCAAGACTACACCAACACTGTACCTACTTTGCAACATTACAGCACACAACAACAATATATTATACTATACAGTATATAGAACTAGTCTATAGTACTCTGCGCATCTTTACTACATGTTCGCGCGTTGTGCCCTGTCTCGCTACATGTGCCACAGCGCCTTAAAGACTGAGTGCTCCCATTAACGCGCAACCTCTTCTTTGCCTTCTTCCCATCACTACGGGCCTTAAACTCCTTTAGAGTAGTTAGCTGCACTCCCTTAGCAAAGGTTAGAGTCCCCTCTTGCTGTAATTGCTTCCTTTTGTGTGATTTACAACGTGTAGCGGCCTTGTTGGCTGCCTGTAGGTCAGCGACCTAGTTACGCACTAAAACTAGTGAATGCGCTATTAGCTCTGCGCCTTTAGTGAGCTGATTAAGAGCGTTAACTATAGACGTTGGTAAGCTATTAGCGTGTCTCTAAATCCTCTCTTAAATTAGCTTTAATTAAGACCTAAATTCTAGCGTATTGCTTAGTGTTTTAGACTCCTATGTACTGTTGTCTACAGTAGGTGGTGTTAGTGTGTGTAGTTGTACTTTAAGCTTTAATATTACAGCTTCTAGGTTAAATAGGACTAGGCCAGCACCTCTAAATCCTCCCTAGATGTTACTCTCTGTAATTAAGGCGTTAAAAGCTGCTTTGAAGCATGGCAAGAACTCAAGTTTAGTAATACGCGTGATCTTGCTATGCATCAGCCGCTCAGCTTAGCGGCCATAGGCCTTCTTCAACAGAGAAAAACAGCCCACGTTAAGTGGCTGTAGTAGGTGCGACGAGTGTGGAGGCATACACAGGGTAATAATCTTGTGTTCCTCGCAGTACTGGTGGAATTCAACTAAGTTGTGGCTCTTGTGGCCGTCCAGAATAAGCAGCTGATAGCTGCCAACAGTGCGCGCCTTTGTGTGCTTATTAAAGTGCTTCAACTACTTAACTCCAAGCTTATTGTTAGTCTAGCTATTATTAGAGACATTAAGAACCTAGTTGTTAGGTATACTAGGCTCCTTATACTAGGCAGAGAGGTGGTGCTTGCTAGAGAAGATAATGAAGGGTGGGATAGACCAGCCCTTCGCGCAGATGCCTTGGATAATGCTAGTCCACTCTCAGTCGCCCTACTGCACTGCCTTTAGTCTCCCTCAACGCTCAGAGCCTGTGACAACAGCTCCTGTTAATATAACGCCTATTATAAAGCTAGACTTGTTAAAGTTGTGGGTGTCTTTATCTTGTATACTATACTTAGCTTTAGTATTCTCTACTAGTTAGAACTAGTCCCTAATTACCTTAGGGTCCTTACATAGAGCTCTCTTATAGTTGTACTTACAATTAAATTTGACTTTAAGCTCTAGCCAACGTTTGACAAAGTTAGCAGCCCAGTTCTTGCCAACGTAGGGCTGGTGGCGCTCAGCAAGCAGAGAATTGGCCATATCCTCCACATTAGCAAGCTGGGGCGAGTATCCTCGCTTGTCTAGCTTTAATACATGCTAGACAATTACCTCCTCTTCAGTACTAGTCATCCTTATCATGTTGGGCTTGCAATTGCGTTGAGAGAGCTTTCCGTCGCGTTGTCGTCGTAGGGTGCTTTCTGACACCTTATAGATAGCTGCAGCGCGTGGCACAGTAAGATTCGCGTCTTGTTAGATAGCCTAGAGAGCAAGCTGTATGTCTGCTTTATTTGACAGCCTCTTCATGTTATTTTGTTGAGGTATAATAGGCAGAGTGAAGTTTGGTGTGGTCTTGGCAAAACCCGGTCACTCGCTTGTGCCGGTCACTCGCTTGTGGAGTACGTTAGTTAATCTAGTTATATATAAGGTCTTTAGCTTAGCGCCTATATACCTTCTTTAGAGGGGCAAAACAGCCTATATTAAGTGGCTGTAGGAGATGTAATAAGTGCAGAGGCATACATACAGTAATAATCTTATTATCCTTGCAGTATTCCTAGAAATCTAGTAAGTTATAGCTCTTATAACTATTAATAACTAGCAGACAGTAGCTACTAATAGTACGCTCCTTTGTATACGTGTTAAAGTGCTTTAACTAGTTAAGACTAAGTTTATTAGTAGTCTAGCTATTCTTAGAGACCCTAATAACCTAATTATATGTATCTAAGCTTCTTTTAACGCGTCTAACTAGCGTTTGTGGAGAGGCATTGGTGTAGTAAGGGTGTTTTGGTAGGGTCTTGGCAAAAGTGTCCAACTCGCCCGTGTGTCTGACTCGCCCGTGGGGTACGTTATAATTAATTATTAATCTTAATTAACGTACTCTATCACCGAGCCGGTCATATCACCGAACCGGTCACTTAAAATCCCACCAAAAAACACAGAAACCATACCCCTGCATCT